CGGCCACCGCCACGACCACGCCAGGACGACCGCCCTCGGCGGTCGCCCCCACGCCACGACGACCGCCCACAGCGGCCGCCTCCATCGGCGAGGTAGGACTGCTCGGCGCCGCGCGCGCCCTTGCCTTTCCCCGCCTTCACCTTCTCCATGATCGATCGATATTCGATGGTGACCTCCATCAGGACGTCACTCCTTGATTTGCAAACTTACCTTTGCGGCTTCTAGCACTGAACAACAAGAGGTCATAGTCTCGCAAATCTCCTCGTTAGCCTTGGTCTTGGAGAGCTACACGTTTGACTTGATCAATCTAACCCTAGCCCTACACCTACCCTAGCCCTACACCTACCCTAACCCTAGCCCTAGCCCCAGCCTAACGCCAAAGCGACGACGCCTCGGGGGAAAACCCGGGAATATATGTCCCCGTCCCCCCCAAAAAAATGACGCCGATTTTCGAGTAGTAGGCATCTAGACTAGTCTAGTCTATGTGTCTTCAATTTTTTTCGCACAGACCCAACAGCCAATATCCACACTCTGGGTTTTACCCCCAAGGAAACCCAACCGCACCGTCAGCACTCCCCGCAGATGTGGTCCTTGCACGATCAATATTGCCGCTACGTGCAAAGCTGACAATTATCAGTGAGCTAGAGTGCGAGCATATCGTTGGAACGTTCAGTCATTGCTGGGAGTCTAGCCAGGACCCAACAACATCCACCACTGCCGCCCTAACCAGTACGCCTCAGGTGTGTCGTGTATTCGTCCTACTTTTTGTGGCGACAAGATGAAGCGTGAAAGTCATGTGGCACGTATATCGCAATGCGACCACAAGGAAGGCACGGTCGCACAGGATCCGCACCGCACGTTGGTTGCAGGTATTCCGGGACTTTTCCTGGGCTTGGCCGTGCCGCCTAGGCAATAAACGACTACCTAAAGAGATTGATGCCGCTGAGCTTGTAGCCACGGGCAGACTTAAAAGGCCAGTTACATGAGGCATCACCACATTACCGCTGTGTTCACCCGCCCCGCGGGTGTGTAAGTGCATGGCTTGATTTTTCAGAGGATGGTCCAGTCTAAAACCAAGCGCCATCAATTATTATTAGGATTTATTATTCATCGCAGCAAATGCTTCACAAATACACTTACCAACTTCCGGCAACACGTTGGGAGCTCCCATCAGCTGACAAAAAACTCTCCTTATGTACAAGGAGTCTACTGTGTCCTGTCGAGTTGAGTTCAGCCTGCTCGGCATCCCACCTCTCACCGAAACAACTCGAAGGCTTGCGCTGTTAATACTTTACTTGATACAGGTTGCCCGGGAGTGGGGACGATCGCGCTCCAAGGTTAAAAGGCTACAGCTGCACATCGGGGCATTGGAGCTCTAGACAGCCATGAGGCACGCACACCGAGAAAAACAACCTTCCACAAGAAGACAACTACTGTACTTCGTACACGGCCAAATTCGCATACACGATCATTGACCTTATCACTATCAACAAGCGAAATACACGTACCTATGCGCACGTGAAGCCGAAACAAAACATGGGTTCACCGCGTGTGCCATCACTCAGCTACATCGGCACACTCGACCGATTCGAACGAACCAGCTCATGTTCTAATTGGCACACCGAACGACATCGGACCATCGATTCTGGTCAGCACGCCCAGCAGGCTTCTCTTGGTGGAAACAAGCGCAACGCATCACCAAAGCCAAGCCTTGCATCTACATTATATCTATTAGAAAACACGGCCAACACACGGACGCATGAGGTTTATGCATGACAAACGAAAGACAAATCGAGAAAAAAAAAAACACAACCACCGCTCGATACAACCACCTGCGTGCTTCGGAATGAAAGCACCCGGCGATTGGCGGAACAAACTTCTAGCGGGGAGCAAGTACCCCCGTCAAGACGGAGATCGATCCCTCCGTCCTCAGCAACACCGACAAAAGACAAAGCCTTGCCTGTTCCCTTGTGACAAAACACCTACTTCGTTATGAAGAATCTAGACTACAACATACACCGCACTCGTAGCCTTGGCAGTCATTGCCTACGTGGTGCCCTTTCACCTTGAAGGGGGGGGGGTCACGTGTTCTCGTCTAAGATCGCACTCAGAAGAGAGGTTCACCAGTACTTACTAGCGCACAGTATACTTCGTGTGGATGGCCTCGTGTGTGTGAGGAAAGCACACCTTCACTCATTGAGACTATTCTTAAGCCGAACAATACGCAATACACAAAAAACAAAAACGCCTTCCGTTCGCTCTACTGAGCCCGTTTGTTAAAACACGCAACGGACAAGAAAAATAACGAGAATTCAAAAAGAGATGAATAAAACAAAAATATGGGAGAATGCGGCAATCTTTCCATTCGCTCCGCAAACAGAGAGCATTAGGGGGGACGCCCTAGCCCTTCTCCGGCAAAACCACTAGAGGAGGCCATCTTCCTCCGCTTCGTCGATAGCCGCGTCTGCGGCAACGTCCGCGTCGACCAGGCCCTGGTCGGCCAAGAGACCGCCGTTCTCTGCGGGCACGAGGGCGTTCGCTTCCTGGTTCTCCGCCAACTCCTCGGCGTTCTCCACGATCTCCGCGGGGGTCTCGGTAGCGCTGGCGTCGCCTTCGACGCTTAGCACAGGCAGCGGGACTTCGGCGAGCTCGCTGTAAAGAAACGTGGAGAAAGAACGAACCAGGAGATTTTGAGAGGGGGAGAGGTCGGGCTGAGGTGGTCCCAACAATCAGGAGGAGGCGTGCGTCGGTAACGGATAATGTGTGTTGTGTGTTGTGTTTTCGTCCTATTTATTACGGCGACAGTCCCCCCATTTTTCGTGGTGAGTACTAGACGTTTTTCAGCGTATGTAAAGTACTACACTTTTCAGTGTTTTTTTTCGTACAACTATAACCATCCAGGGTCACACAGGAGGGGGTAAACACCAGGGCTTTTTTCTGCTTTTTATTTCTTTTCATGCCCCACCTTCCTCCTGCGGTGCGTGCTGAATTTAGTTTTATCGCGAGAAGGGTTCCGCCGTCCTTTTCCCTCGTCAACGGTGCTAACGTCGAAGTTTGGTACTCACGAGAGCTTTTTAGCTATATTCCGCTTTCACCCGCAAATTTCGTAAATTTTTCACCCCATGGGGATTCGAACTCACGACCTCTGCGACTAGTGGATTACGAGGATACCACTAGACCACCGGAGCGACCGGTCAGAATGTGTAGGTGCCGAGAACGTTGTGAGGAATCAACTCATGTCAGTCAGGTACCGGAGCCGTCGGGGCAGCTCGCGTGATCTACCATGTACTGCCTGATGTATTTTAAGAGGACAGCAGGGGGAATCAACACCAAAGTCCGATAGTGAAGGCAGAGTTGGTCAACAAGCATCGGGGTCGGGGGATTGGATCGGTGCAATATGACAGTGATTTGTCCGGTGAAGCTCGATGATAGATAGTCGCTGTGCAACCCTATAGCTGTTGGCTCGGCCATTTTTTTGTGACCCGGACCCTCTCTTGTCTTTGAAAGCTTCACTTTCGACGAAGCCTATCCGCTAGGTTTGCATTCAGCTCGTGTATGTCACCGCCGACCCCACATACGCTCAAGACCGTTTTTTTTCGCGAAAAAACGCACATTGCATCCATATTATCGTCTCTCTTCCTTCTTTCCGCCGTCGGACCGTCATCACGCAGTCTTTCTCAACGACGCTATCCTGGTCACAAGAAGCAACTCTTGTCACGAAACCACAAACGACAACGGTTTCGCAGATACAACTTCCGTACAGAATGCCGCCAAGACGGAACAGCTGGTGCNCTGGCATCAGGCTTACTGCCCACCCTGGGGACAGTGGAGGCGTCGTCGTCCTTGAGGTAGTAGGTGGTGTCGGTGCCGTAAGTCTCCGTGTCTTGGATGGAGAGCCCAGTCGTGGGGATCTGTTCCGGTCCGTTCGTTAAACATTAACAAGAAGCATAAGAAGCAAGATGCCGTGATTGTTACAGGTAGATAACTACGAGGCCAGGTTCCGGGAAGTGGGAAACGGCTTCGAAGCACGATAACACCACGGTGCGTGATGTGCCAGGCGAATGCCTAGAGACTTAAAAGGATTGACCTGCAGTGTCTTCCCGGCACTCTCCTACGAAATAGCCATTTTGAGCAGGATATTTCATTGACTCTTGGATTGCGCCATGGGTGAATAGGACCTGGTGTGATGTAAACTATATGGCTTGTGACATGATTCAAATTTGATGCAAGCTATATTCTTGAGAGAATTTTCATGTCAGCGGGGAGCTGCACCGCACATTCATTAGCTCAGTAAGCCGCGTGCAGAAACCGCAAGTCTGTTTTCAGATCAATGTGGCGAGCCTCGGAACTTACCCCGGCGGCCGAAGCGGTCGGGACCGTAAGTGGCACGTGGCCGGCCCCGCTGCCCGAGACGTAGGACAAGCCAGTGACAGCCCCGGTTTCGTCGAGGGTCATGGTGACGTACGGGCTCGAGTCATCCAGGGCCTCGTGGAGCGTGAACTCGGTGCACAGGTCGTCGAACTTGATGCTCTGTTCGGGGTAAGTGAGGAGATGCAGAAAGGTGAGGCGTAGACCCATGGACAATAGCTTGTGACCTCATCTATCATCATCACGTGGCGTCAGATTTGGTCGTTTTCAGTTTCAATAGAGCGAGGCATGGCTCACCTTAACCGGGAAGGTGATGTAGCTGGAGAACACCTCCAAGACGCGCTCGTACCAGTACTCGAGCAGGGACTGGCTTCCGTCGCCGACGTCCCCTGCCGGAATAATGTTGGCTTGGTGGAACATGTACTTGTCCCTAATGCGATCCAGGTGCGAGGGTCCACGTGGAGACGTTCGTTCGACATGCAGGGCAAGGGTTCGTTCAGTTCCGATGGGAGCACAGAAGCATCCAATCCACACGACCCAGGCTTCGAGGCGGAAGAATCCAGATCTCAAGTATCGCCCGGGATGACGGTCAGTGCATCCGATAGGAAAACACGCCGAGAAACGGCGGACAGGTACTCACCAGGAAGAAAAACTATCAGATAAAAAAACTCCCGCGCCTAGAGTAACTCGACGACAACGCACGCCCCTTTACAGTAGCTCCACCACAACTGTTTTAGCGTGCTCTCCGACATGCACAAACCAAGCACATAATAAAAATATAAACGAACCAGTACCAACAATTACGAAAAAACACAAGAGGGAAACGACACCGAAAACGTAGAAACGAATACAAAGAGACCACAACCGACCTGCGGCCAGTCAGCATGTAGCGCGTGGTGGTGGAGGCCTCGGCGTCGAAGATCGCCTCGATGGAACCCAAGGACTGGATGTCGGTGGCGCCGTCGGTGCCGATGCATTCGTCCGCGGTGCTCGTGCAAGTCTTTGGCATTGTGAATCGAAGGGGGTAGACGGGAGAGCAAGCCAGTCAGCGAGGGACGTGAAGATCGCAAGCACTGTATGCATCGCTCCAACAATGACCGCCTGGCATGCGTACCGCGAGATGCAAGTGGTGACAGCAGTGCGCAAGATAGCATCGATGAAGCTTCTTTTCCTTGCGCTACTGCCTTCGTTGTTGTGTACCGACCCTACCAACCACGTGCTCCCACAGACACTACCGTCCGGCAGTTTCGAGAAAACTTACGTAATCGGCGATGCTTGGGTCGAGCGGGGTGCACTCGCATACGAAGCGCCTGATGTACTCGTTCTCGTTCACGAGGCACTGAAAAGAAGCGCCCGGAAAGGGAAAATAAACCAGGTGAACAAAAATGGAGACAGGGCGAGCGATCATCGCACAGCATGGCAATTGCTAGTGAGTGTGCTAGTGAGACAAGAGAAGACAAAACACAAGACAACCAACCACGTCCTCGTGTCATCCATCACCGAACGGAAATCAAGTCGCCAAAGCAAACGTTGTACGTATGCTCGGGCCGACGCTCTTCAGAATGGCGACGGAATACCAACCAGAAACGGCCAAGCGCCAAAGTCAAAAGTGGTCGTAAGAAACGTACTTTTCACTGGACGGTTGTACACACTACGAGACGAGGCAAGGGGAGCCGGGTTGAAACGGAACCTAGGCCGTGACTCAACGATCATTCGCAAGGTCGCGAAATTTTGGATCGGCTGTACAAGTGCACCAAACAAAACACAAGAGCAACAACATATTCACCACATGAAGCTAGGCGAGGGATGCTGCATGAGCCTGTACATTACTGAGTCACTTACGGTTCCGCTGACGCAGTTGAAGTACACGAAGGTCGCGAATCTGGGCACGATCTGGCCACCATCGTAGCCTGCATATTAAAACATCGTTCGGAAGAAAACGCAAGCGGCATTGGTGCAGTGAAGCAGGCTGTGAGTACATGTATCGCAAGAACCACACCGAAGAGGTTCGCGAGGGAACGGGATGACTGGAGAGAGGTGCAAGAGTGTGGAAAGGCGGCCCCACTTCCGGGCGCCGTCACCTGCAAGACGCGACATCGCCGCGGTGTATGTACACGGTGTGACTGTGACGATAACTAGCTGCCGTCCCCCTCGGCGCTGGGGCAACCAACAACTGCCTCGACAAAAAATCGTCCGTTGGACCCGCGTAGCAAAAGTCCGCACCGGAAACGCGGCACGGACCAGCTTAACTCGACGACGGGAACAACGGCTGCTCAGGATATGGAAATTCACTGTCCAACGAGCGCCCGTCTTGGGGCAACCCTACGCAAACAATGGCACTGCCTGCAAGAGGAAAACCCTTTGGCGACGAAGGTGCAGACTGCATGTGCGCTGGTACAGCATTAACGGCATGCCCGTCACAAGAAGATCATAGCACCCCGAAAGCTCACATACATGTGATGCGAGGAATGTATGTATCAAGGTCTGTGAGATAGACGTTACCCTCCCTCACCGTTGTTGGAAACGGTCGTGTAGATCGAGTGGAACTGGTTGTCTTCGTTGATCAGGATTGCGGCACCGGACACGGTTCCGTCGAAGGTGTTGTCGCCAGGGTAGCACACCATAAGGTTCTGCGCCGCCGAGTCGAGGCAGTTCTCGTTGAAGAGACCCGTGATGCCGGGCGATACCATTGAGCGCCAGTTGTAGTTGTCGCTGTCCCACATGCCGGTCATGAGAGCGATCTGCACGTTACCTGAAAAATGTGAAAATAGGGGGGAGGAAAACGGGAATTGTTTCTCCATTGCTTTCACGCTCTCCCACATGCCGGTCATGGCAGCGTTCTCAACGATACCGAAGGTACACATTGAAGGAGTGGTTCTGGTCAAACACACGATCGCTTCCCGACGAGCGGTAGAGGCAAAACCGGCGACTCTACCCGTTCGTGTCAACCAGAGCGTTCAGCAGCGCGTGATGAGTCGATGAACGCTCGTTATCCAGGATTGTGAATCTCGTAGCCTACGACTCTCACCGGTGTCCTCCGTGACGCAGTCCGACTCGCGAAGCTGGTCGCGGGACAGGTGGATGAGGGTGTGGTGGCCGTGGTAAAACGTGGAAGGCGTGTCGAGGTGGCTGATCACCTCCGCGAGAAGGTCATCGTTGGCCTCCCAGGTGCCGTCGGCCATGTCTTGCTGCATGAGAGGCACGTTGGTGGCGAGCCAGTTGGTGTCGTGCACGTTGATCTGACCTGAAACCACCGGAAGGAGATGGGTCGATGGGGGGGGGGGATGCATTCGAAGTGAAGATTGCACGGGCGTACGTCCATATTATTGGCGATCACATTTAATTCATACACGACGTGTCTATGTGTCATCGATACATTCAGGGGTCTACAAAATCGATATATTGTCATATATGTTACCTAGAGCACGTGTCTAGGCAAGTACCCAAGACACGCGCTTGAAACATGCGTAAGCGGGCCTTTGTATCGACCGGCCAGCGTGCACTAGCTCAACCGATGGGAATGTTTTGGCCAGAAATGGCTGTCCTACAAACATAGCAGCGGCGATATTCTGCTTGGGTTGGGTTAGAGAACAGGTCATTTCACTGAAAATGTCGGAAGGTTTCACCACGGATGGTAAGCTTGTGGAGGTATCCGAGGAGGAAAGAGAGAGATTCAGTAGCCACCATGCAAAGACAACCGACTCACCGTCTTCGAACCACTTGGTGCCCTTGAGGGTCACCATGGTCTCCTCGTAGTTGGGGACGTACGAGATGTCTTCCACCGATTGCGAAACCTAAACGTGGTGCCAGCATGCCAAGGACACGTTGGATGAGCTGTTAAGCACTCACCCTGAAACTGTCGCATGAGTCTATCGCAAGGCCGCACAGATATCCAAGGGGCCAAGCGTTCGTTTCACTCAACCACGTATTCCTTGGCCAGCGAAAACGGCCACGCGACACCCCGGTGTTCGTTTTCACACCCATCGTCATGCTTCGTGCTGCAAACGCACACACCTTTTCAACCCCAGCGTCAAGCGACACCCCTAAAGAACACCAACGAGATCTGCACTCTAAGTATCAAACGCACATGCTCCGCAATCCCGCCGCCGTTGAAGGCGAACTCGGTGATGATTTCCGACCCCGAGTACTGGGTGTTGAGTGACTGCTGTACGCCGAGCAGGTTGCTCAGGTCTTGGCCCGTACACCGCTGGGCGACGGCGGCCTCGTTCGTTCCTCCGTCGTATTCGAATTCCGGGGTGGAGAGGAAGAGGTCGTCGACAACCGCTCCCAGGTAGAAGCGGCGCTCGCCCTAGGGTAAGAGGGTTGGACGGAGGCATAGTTGGGAGCATCACGTAACTCACTAGATGATTTGCCTTTCATCCCTTGACTGCCTATGACCGCAACCGCGCGTCTCGCACGAAACGGAGCATTGTCCCTACTCTGGGTAATTTTTGGCTTGATGGTCCCACTGCTGCGAGTGGGCAGCATCATTTCATCATCATCGACCAACGCTAGACATCTACCTGGAGCAGACAAACGAATTAACCTATTTCATTCTTCTTTCACGAGCTTTCCAGACCTATATTTTGTGGGCACTGCTCAGAGCGGTCGCACACCGTGAACGGTGACGACGTCAGAAGCAGAGCACCGTCAACGACAAAGCACGCACCATGAAGATGCCCTTGGTGGCCCACTCGTTGTAGAAGTGCGCCCACGGCCACGCGCCGGTGTCAAACCAGCCGATGGTGTTGAAGACGTGCAGCTCCTCGTGGCCGTCGGCACCCGTGTAGCTGAGCACCGCAGCGTTCTCCTGGTCACCCCCGGCACCGGAGAGGTAAGGGTCGCCGGCACTATCGACGTACCTGCACATGGGACGGGACAGGATAGATG